CTATGGTCATTCACAAACATGTTGTTTTCTTTCCAAATATTTGTATACTTTCTAAAGTTCCTGTTGGTATTAATTTCTAGTAGTGTTCACTGTGGTCCGAGAAGATACTTGATATAATTTCAATTTTTAAAAATTGTGTTGAAGCTTTTTCTTTTTTTTTTTTTTTTTTTTTTTTTTTTTTTTTTTTTTTGAGACGGAGTCTCTGTCGCCCAGGCTGGAGTGCAGTGGCCGGATCGCAGCTCACTGCAAGCTCCGCCTCCCGGGTTTATGCCATTCTCCTGCCTCAGCCTCCCGAGTAGCTGGGACTACAGGCGCCCGCCACCTCGCCCAGCTAGTTTTTTTGTATTTTTTAGTAGAGACGGGGTTTCACCGTGTTAGCCAGGATGGTCTCGATCTCCTGACCTCGTGATCCGCCCATCTTGGCCTCCCAAAGTGCTGGGATTACAGGCTTGAGCCACCGCGCCCGGCCTGAAGCTTTCTCTTGTGGCCTCTCCTGTGGTTTATACTGGAGAATATTCGATGTGTTGATAAGATGAATGTGTATTCTTCAGTTGTCAGGAAGGATGTTCTGTAAATGTCTATTACATCCATTTAGATTTATAACCCAGTTACAGTCAAACATTCTTTGTTGAATTTCTGTCTTCACGATCTGCCTAATGTGAGTGGGGAATTAAATCCTTAATTATTATTGTATTGCAATCTATCTCCTCTTTAGATATCTAGTGATATTTATCAATCTGGATGCTCCAATGTTGGGTAAATATATAATTAGAATTGTTATATTATCTTGCTGAATTGATTTCTTTATCATTATATTATTACCTTTTTAATTTTTTTGACCTAATGTCTGTTTGATTTTATAAAAATGTAGCTACTCCTACCCAATTTTGATGTTCATTTGGAAGGACCATTTTTTTCTACCCTTTTTCTTTCAGTTAATAGCTCTTTTAAAATAAAGTAACTTTCTTGTAAGAAGAATTTGGTTAGATCATTTTTTACCATTTCATCAATCTGTGTCATTTAAGTTGAGATTTTAGTCTGTTTATGTTCATAATTATTATTGACAATTGAGGTTTTCTTCCTGCCATATTGTCAATTGTTTTCTGTTTGTTTCATAAGTTATTTTTTTTCTCACATTGTTTGTCATTGTGGTTTGATGGAATTCTGTAGTAGTGCCATTCGATTCATTTCTCTTCCATTTTTGTGTGATTGCTTTTCTAGTGAGTTCTATTTTTGTGTGTTTTCATAATGGTAAATTCCTTTTGCCTTCACGTGTTTTCATAATGGTTAATGTCCTTTTGCTTTCATGTTTAGGACTTCTTGAGCATTTCTTGTAGGGCCAATCTAATCGTGACAAATTCCCTCAGTATTTGTATTGGAAAGACTTTATTTCTCCTTCATTTATGAAGGCAAGTATTGCTGAATATAGTATTCACAGTCAGCAGGGTTGTTTTTCTTTCTACACTTTGAATATATCATCCATTTATTTTTAGGCCTTTGAAGTTTCTGCTGAGAGGGTCATTGTTAGTCCAATGGGTTTTTTTTAATAGGTAACTAGATGACTTTCTCTTGCTGTTTTTAAATATAATTGTTCACATTGACTTTGGACAGTTATATTAATGTGCTGTGATGAAGATTTTTTGCAATCTGTTTCTTTGGATCACTGAGCCTCTTGTGTTTGGATGTCTAAACTTCTTGGTAGACTTGGGAAGTTTTCATCTATTATTTCATTAAATATGTTTTCTAAACTTTGATCTATCTTCACACTTAGGAATATTAATAACGTTTACATTCAGTTGTTTTCTGTTTCCAAAGATAAGGAAAAAGACAAAGTCAATCTCTCTCTGCTGACAATATGATTCAAAAAGACTCTCCCAAAAGGCTCCCAGAATTGATAAATGACTTTAGTAAAGTTTCAGAATACAAAATTCATGTACAGAAATCGGTAGCATTTCTACACTACAGTAATATTCTTGGTGAGCCAAATAAAAAATGCAATCCTATTTGCAATAGCCACACCAAAACTACAATATCTAGAAATACCACTAACCAAAGAGGTGAAACGTCTTTACAAAAAGAACAACAAAATACTGCTGAAAAATTATTAGAGATGAAACAAACAGAAAAATATTCCATTATCATGGATTGGAAGAATAAATATCATTAAAATTGCCATACTTTCCAAAGTAATTTACATATTCAATGTTATCCCTATCAAAATACTGTTATTTTTCATGGAATTTTTTTTTTAAAAAGCTATTCTAAAACTCATATGGAACCAATAAAACATCTGAATAGCCAATGGAATCCTAAGGAAAAACAAAGGCAAATAAATCACTTTACCCAACCTAAAACTGTATTATACGACTAACGTAACCAAAACAGCATGAAACTGGTATAAAAACAGATACATAGACCGATGGAACAGAATAGAGATCCCAGAAATAAAGCTACAAACCTACAACGATCTGATCTTAGACAAAATTTACAAAAGCAAGGGGAGCAGGACTTCCTATGCAATAAATAGTGCTGGGATAACTGGCCAGCCATATGCAGAAAAATATGACTGGATCCCTACATTTCACCATATGCAAAAATTAACCAAATATAAATTAAAGATTTAAACATAAGATCCCAAACTATGAAAACACTAGAGGAAAGCCTAGGAGATACCCCTCTCGTCACTGGATTAGCAAAGAATTTATGGCTAAGTCTCCAAAAGCAATTTCAAAGAAAATTTGACAAGTGGGACCTAATTAAGCTAAAGAGCTACAGCGTAGCAAAAGAAATTATCAAAAGAGTAAACATACAGTCTACAGAATGGGAGAAAATATTTGGCAACCATGCATCCAACGTAAGTCTAATATCCAGAATCTATAAGACACTTAATCAACCAGCAAAAAGTAAATAATCAATTAAAGAGTGAGCAAATGACATGAACAGGCACTTCTCAAAAGAAGATGTACAAGCAGCCAACAAACCTATAAAAATGCTCAATATTACTAATCATCAGAGAAATGCATATAAATACCACAATGAGATACTGTCTCACACAAGTCAGAATGGCAATCATTGAAAAAATCGAAAAATAACTGATGCTGATGAGACTGCAGAGAAAAGAGAATGCTTATATACTGTTGGTAAGAATGTAAATTAGTTCAGCCCTTTGGAAAGGAGTTTGGAGATATCTCAAATAACTTAGAACTGCCATTTAAACCAGTAATCCCATTACCAGATATATACTCCAAGGAAAATTAATTGTTCTACCAAAAAGACACATGAACTCATATGTTTATCACAGCAGTATTCACAATAGGAGAGACATGGAATCAATCCAGCTTCCCATCAACAGTGGATTGAATAAAGAATATGAAGTACATTTACACCATGAAATACTATGCAGCCATAAAATGGAATAAAATATTCCTTTGCAACCATATGAATGCAGTTGGAGGCCATTATCCTAAGCTAATTAACACAGGAACAGAAAACAAACTACCGCATCTTCTCACTCGTAAGTGGAACTAAACCTTGAGTACACATGGACAGAAAGAAGAAAACAATAGAAACCAGAGCCTACTTAAAGGTGGAGGATGGGAGGAGGGCAAGGATAAAAAAACTACCTATCAGCAACTGTGCTCACTACCTGAATGATGAAATCATTTGTACACCAAACCACATGGACACACAATTTACCCATGTAATAAGCCTGCATAAGTACCCCCTGAACCTAGAATAAAATATGGAAGGGATAAAAAATAGGTCAACTCCTAGCAGGCCAATTTTCAGTACTCTTTTTGTGCATAATTCTTTAAAGTCATGAAGAGCCAGGATTTATCTTTCTTTTTAACTTTTAAGTTTAGGGGTACATGTGCAGGATGTGCAGGTTTGTTACATAGGTAAACTTGTGTCATTCGGGTTTGTTCTACAGATTATTTCATCACCCAGGTATTAAGCCTAGTACCCATTAGTTATTTTTCCTGATCCTATCCATCCTCCCACCCTCTGTCCTCTGAAAGGTCCCCAGTGCTTGTTGTTCCCCTCTATGTGTTCCCATGTTCTCATCATTTAGCTCCCACTTATGAGTGAAAATACATCGCATTTGGTTTTCTGTTCCTGTGTTAGTTTGCTAAGGATAATGGCCTCCAGCTCCATCTATGTTCCTGCAAAGGAAATTATCTTGTTCTTTTCCATGGCTACATAGTATTCCATGGTGTATATGGACCATTATTATAATGCTGATTCATAAAAACCATGACCAAATGAGGATTTATTCTTAGCATATTTTTATGATTAATCTAAATTTCAAAATATTCTGCTTTACGATACCACAATTCTATTTATTAGACTACCTTATATTACCTTTAAATCACTTTTTGTAAGTCTAGAAGATTTTAAGTTCCTTGAATGAAGGGACTCTGCTTTAACATTCTTACCATCATAAATAATACAGAATAAATACTCCTTGAATTCATTGAAAAAACAGTAAATGCCAATAACTAGAGTTTCTAGGTGACAGAATTTTACTTTTTCTTTCCACTGTTTCTGAAATTGTGTTGTTTTGCCCTTTAAATGAGGGAAAATCAAATTTACCTGATAAGTCATTTTAGTACAGTGGATAGAAAACAGTCTCCTGTAATCCAAGTAGGTTTGAATCCTAGCACTATGATTTACTTGTTTAACTATTTAATTTGGGGCAGGCTTATTTAATCTTTCTGAGCTTTGAATCTGTCATTTGTAAACTGGGGATATCTTTCTGAAAAAAAAAAAAAACCAACTACTATAAGTATTAAATGAAATTAGTTATAGGAGACTCTTGCACAATTTTGTGCACCAATCCCAGAGCTGGTGCTCAATAAGCAGTACCTAGTTTTATTTAAGTACATTGAGAAATATATAATAATCACCCTGATAAGTAAGATAATCCTGCTAGGAACAAAATTTCTGAATTGCTCTGAATTATAAAAGTAGAACCCCCCTTCCAATCATATTAACATTACCTGGAGAAGGCTTGTGTCCAAATATACCATTGAAGAAAGCAGGCATTCGAATGCTACCACCAATATCAGAGCCCACACCAATCACTGAGCAGGCAGCTGCCAGTGTGCAGCCCTCACCACCTAAAGGAAACACAAAATACTTGCAAATAAATAATCTAATATACTATTTGCATAGAATATCTTTTTCCATCTTTTCACTTTCAACCTTTTTGTGTCTTTAGATCCAAAGTGAGTCTTTTGCTCACAGCATATATTTAGATCATAATTTTAATCTATTCTACTCATCTATGTTATTTGAGTATATTAAACCATTTACATTTTAAAGTAATTACTGATAAGGTCTTCCCTGAGGATATTTCTCCCCTGGGTCTGTGTTTGTGTTTCTGTTTTTTCTTAATTCTCCCATATAGAAAAGAGCTCTTATTTTTTTTCCCATCAACTTTTAAGTTCTGGGGTTCATGTGCAGGATGTACAGGTTTGCTACATAGGTATATGTGTGCCACGGTGTTTGGCACCACAGATCAACACATCACCTAGGTATTAAGCCCAGCACCCATTAATTATTCTTCTTGATGCTTTCCTTTCCCCCAACATCCCCCAACAGGCCCAAGTGTGTGCTGTTCCCTACCACGTGTCTATGTGTTCTAATCATTCAGCTCCCACTTTTAAGTGAGAACATGCTGTGTTTGGTTTTCTATCCCTGCATTCGTTTACTGAGAATAATGGTTTCCAGCTCCATGCATGTCCCTGCAAAGGACATGATATTGTTCCGTTTCGTGGCCGAATAGCATTCTATGGTGTATATGTACCACATTTTATTTATTCAATCTATCATTGATGGGCATTTGGGTTGATTCCATGTTTTTGCTATTGTGAATAGTGCTGCAATGAACATATGCGTGCATGTATCTTTATAATAAAATGCTTTATATTCCTTTGGGTATATACCCAGTTTGATGATTAATACTGAGTGGCAACTTGATTGAATCGAAAAATGCAAAACATTATTCCTGGGTGTGTCTGTGAGAGTGTTGCAAAGGAGATTAGCATTTGAGTCAGTGGACTGGGAGAGGCAGGCCCACCCCCAGTCATAACAGGCACCATCTAATCAGTGTGACTAGAATAAAGCAGGTAGAAATTGGAAAGAGCAGAGTTGCTGTGTCTTCCAACATTCATCTTTCTTCCATGCTGCATGCTTCCTGTCCTCAAACATCAGACTCCAAGTTCTTCAGCTTTTGGATGCCTAGACTCACACAAGTGGTTTGCCAGGGACTCTCAGGCCTTTGGCCATGGATTGAAGGCTGCATTGTCAGCTTTCCTACTTTTGAGGTTTTGGGACTGAGATTGGCTTCCTTGCTCCTCAGCTTACAGATGGCCTATTGTGGGACTTCACCTTGTCATCCTGCGAGCCAATACTCTTTAATAAACTCCCTTCATGTATAAATCTATCCTATTCTGTCCCTCTAGAGAACCCTGACTAACACACCCAGTAATGGGATTGCTGTGTCAAATGGTATTTCTGCTAGGTTTTTGAGGAGTTGCTACACTGTCTTCCACAAAGGTTGAACTAATTTACATTCCTACCAACTGTGTGAAAGCATTCCTTTTTCTCTGCAAGCTAGCTAGCATCTGTTGTTCCTTGACTTTTTAATAATTGCCATTCTGACTGGCGTGAGATGGTATCTCATGGTGGTTTTGATGTGTATCTCTCTAATGATCAGTGATGTTGAGCTATTTTTAATATGTTTGTTGACTGCATTAATGTTTTTCTCTTGAGACGTCTCTGGTCATGTCCTTTGCCCACTTTTTAATTTTTTTTTCTTGTAAATTTGTTTAAGTTCCTTGTACACAGGATATTAGACCTTTGTCAGATGGATAGATTGCAAAAATTATCTCCCATTGTGTACGTTGTCTGTTCACTCTGATGATAGTTTCTTTTGCTGTGCAGAGGCTTGTTAGTTAACTAGATTCCACTGGTCAATTCTTGCTTTTATTGCAGTTGCTTTTAGTGTTTTCATCTGAAATGTTCAAAACCTTCAAAACCCTTGTAATTTCTATAAATTACTTCAGGCAGTATGGTCATTTTCACGATAAAGATTCTTCCTATCCATGCGCATGGATTTTTTTTCAATTTGTTTGTGTCCTGTTTGATTTCTTTGAGTAGTTTGTAGCTTTCCTTGAAGAAGTCCTTCACTTTCCTTGTTAGCTGTATTCTTAGGTATCATATTCTTTTGCAGCAATTGTGATTTGGAGTTCATTCATGATTTGTCTCTACTTGCCTGTTATTGGTGAATAGAAATGCTAGCAATTTTTGCACATTGATTTTGTATCCTGAGACTTTGCAGAAGTTGCTTATCAGTTTAAGAAGCTTTTGGGCTGAGATGATGGGGTTTTCTAGATATATGATCATGTAATCTGCAAGCAAAGGTAGTTTGACTTCCTCTCTTCCTATTTGAATATGCTTTATTTCTTTTTCTTGCCTAATTGCCCAGCCAGAACAACCAATACTATGTTGTATAGGAGTAATGAGAGAGGGCATCCTTGTCTTGTGCTTGTTTTCAAGGAGAATGCTTCCAGCTTTTGCCCATTCAGTGTGATATTGGCTGTGAGTTTGTCGTATATAGATCTTATTATTTTGAAGTATGTTCCTTCAATACCTAGTTTATTAAAAGCTTTTAACATAAACGGATGCCGAATTTTAGTGAAGGCCTTTTCGGCATCTATTGAAATAATCACGTTTTTTTATCTTTAGTTCTGTTTGTGCAACAAATGACACTTATCGATTTGCATATGTTGAGCCAAACTTGCATTGCAGGGATGAAACCAACTTGTTCATGATGTATAAGCAATTTGACGTGCTGCTAAATACTGTTTGCCAGTATTTTATTGAGGGTTTTTGCATTGATGTTCATCAAGAATGTTGGCCTAAAGTTTTCTATTTTTATTGCTTCTCTGAGAGGTTGTCTTTTTTTAAACTTTTTTAAAATTATTATTATTACACTTTAAGTTCTAGGGTACATGTGCAGAACATGCAGGTTTGTTACATATGTATACATGTGCCATGTTGGTGTGCTGCACCCATCAACTCGTCATTTACATCAGGTATAACTCCCAATGCAAACCCTCCCGCCCTTCCCTCTCCCCATGATAGGCCCCGGTGTGTGATGTTCCCCTTCCCGAGTCCAAGTGATCTCATTGTTCAGTTCTCACCTATGAGTGAGAACATGCGGTGTTTGGTTTTCTGTTCTTGGGATAGTTTGCTAAGAATGATGGTTTCCAGCTGCATCCATGTCCCTACAAAGGACACAAACTCATCCTTCTTTATGGCTGCATAGTATTCCATGGTGTATATGTGCCACATTTTCTTAATCCAGTCTGTCACTGATAGACATTTGGGTTGATTCCAAGTCTTTGCTATTGTGAATAGTGCCACAATAAACATACGTGTGCATGTGTCTTTATAGCAGCATGATTTATAACCCTTTGGGTATATACCCAGTAATGGGATGGCTGGGTCATATGGTACTTCTAGTTCTAGATCCTTGAGGAATCGCCATACTGTTTTCCATAATGGTTGAACTAGTTTAAAATCCCACTAACAGTGTAAAAGTGTTCCTATTTCTCCACATCCTCTCCAGCACCTGTGATTTCCTGAATCATTGGCATTCTAACTGGTGTGAGATGGTATCTCATTGTGCTTTTGATTTGCATTTCTCTGATGGCCAGTGATGATGAGCATTTTCTCATGTGTCTGTTGGCTGTATGAATGTCTTCTTTTGAGAAATGTCTGTTCATATCCTTTGCCCACTTTTTGATGGGGTGGTTTGTTTTTTTCTTGTAAATTTGTTTGAGTTCTTTGTAGGTTCTGGATATTAGCCCTTTGTCAGATGAGTAGATTGCAAAAATTTTCTCCCATTCTGTAGGTTTCCTGTTCACTCTGATGGTATTTTCTTTTGCTATGCAGAAGCTCTTTAGTTTCATTAGATCCCATTTGTCAATTTTGGCTTTTGTTGCCATTGCTTTTGGTATTTTAGACGTGAAGTTCTTGCCCATGCCTATGTCCTGAATGGTATTACCTAGGTTTTCCTCTAGGGTTTTTTATGGTATTAGGTCTAACATTTAAAACTCTAATCCATCTTGAATTAATTTTCATATAAGGAGTAAGGAAAGGATCCAGTTTCAGCTTTCTACTTATGACTAGCCAATTATCCCAGCACCATTTATTAAATAGGGAATCCTTTCCCCATTTCTTGTTTCGCTCAGGTTTATCAAAGATCAGATGGCTGTAGATGTGTGGTATTATTTCTGAGGACTCTGTTCTGTTCCATTGGTCTATATCTCTGTTTTGGTACCAGTACCATGCTGTTTTGGTTACTGTAGCCTTGTAGTATAGTTTGAATTCATGTAGCGTGATGCCTCCAGCTTTATTCTTTTGGCTTAGGAATGTCTTGGAAATGCGGGCTCTTTTTTGGTTCCACATGAACTTTAAAGCTGATTTTTCCAATTCTGTGAAGAAACTCATTGGTAGCTTGATGGGGATGGCATTGAATCTATAAATTACCTTGGGCAGTATGGCCATTTTCATGATATTGATTCTTCCTATCCATGAGCATGGTATGTTCTTCCATTTGTTTGTGTCCTCTTTTATTTCACTGAGCAGTGGTTTGTATTTCTTCTTGAAGAGGTCCTTTACCTGCCTTATAAGTTGGATTCCTAGGTATTTTATTCTCTTTGAAGCAATTGTGAATGGAAGTTCATTCCTGATTTGGCTCTCTGTTTGTCTGTTACTGGTGTATAAGAATGCTTGTGATTTTTACACATTAATTTTGTATCCTGAGACTTTGCTGAAGTTGCTTATCAGCTTAAGGAGATTTTGGGCTGAGACAATGGGGTTTTCTAAATATACAATCATGTCATCTGCAAACAGGGACAACTTGACTTCTTCTTTTCCTAACTGAATACCCTTGATTTCTTTCCCTCGCCTGGTTGCCCTAGCCAGAACTTCCAACACTATGTTGAACAGGAGTGGTGAGAGAGGTCATCCCTGTCTTGTGCCAGTTTTCAAAGGGAATTTTTCCAGTTTTTGCCCATTCAGTATGATATTGGCTGTGGGTTTCTCA